CTAATTTTTGTTGTAAATTACCTAATATCAGTTGTTATTCCAATAACTATGAAATTCCTACCATTCACTTGTTAATGCACTAATTTTTGTTGTTGTAAATTTCCTTACTGTGCTTGTCATACCATCAATAACTTTACTTGTTAAATTTCTTAACTTCGACTATTCAAACTAGAGACATACACCAATACACTCATAAAAACCATACATAGTAGTAAACGGGAACAACAATACTCATAAATTCTTTAACTTTAACTTCAACAATTTAAGTTAGAGACATGCACCAACAATACTCAATAACCAAACCAAAAGATGGAATAAAAACCCATTAAAAAAAATAAAGCTCAAACTTTGACCCAATTTGAAGAAGATGATGACCAATAAGAACAATGATTAAAGCATTTCCTTCCTAATCTTAAAAACAAGTAATAACAATTGACTTTCCTTAATGAGATTGAAGACTCACTTTGGGTTTCTCAATTTATCAACTTCCTTGTGCACACTAGCAACCATGGAATGACAACCAATGGGAAGAATGATTGAGCACTTAAGTCTATTGAGAATAGCAGTGATGACCCTAGGAGAAAGGTGGTTACTACCTTGTAAGAGCAGTGTTGATGACAGAGCTTGAGCTTGGAGATTTAGATTTCTTGCTATGCTAACTTCCTTTTGCTCCCTTCTCTCTTTTAAAGGAAGTGTTCCTCTTCTCTTCCTTTAAGGTCATTTAGGCCTTTTAGCTTCTCAATTTAATTTTAATTTGCCCTTATAGGGTACACTAGCATTTTAGATTCTTTTCGGAGTATTTTGAAATTAAATCTTTGTAAAAGGGGTTTAATGAAATTCTCCTAAAATTTTGGGATGTTCTCATCTTGTCCTGTTAGAAGAGCATTGATATGACAATTCAAAAAGGTTAAAAATATAAAAATAGGCCCTTATGCCCTAGTTCTCTCCAATAAGTTGACTTGTTCAGCATTTGGACATTGTTAATCCTCTTGATTTTCAAATTATTTTGTTTTAATCATTTCCCTTTCGCGCATTCTTTTACAATTCATTCCATACTCTAATGTTACAAGCTTAAAGTCCTCTTGATTCTTGAATATATGGATAATTGGTAGTGAAGAATTAGAACTACTACAGGCATATGAGAAGGTAATCAAACAAGTATATTTGAGTGAAAGAACCCCAATACGAGTTGGGTGATACACTACACTACCCTCATGTGGCTATCTCTCTTGGATTTAGTCTTGTTAATCTTTGTATCTTAATATAAGTTTCTTCATATGCGATTGATGATTCGGATTGTAGACTTAGTTCTTGGGTTGGATTTCTGCAAGTTTTTGCAATGTTTGACTCAAGTTAATATGTCTCTCTTCCTAACTTCTAGAATGAAAATGATGACAAATTTTTATTCCATCACGTCTATTTTCCCCCTTGATTTTATCATGACTCTGAGCCATCCTCTTCTTTGGATTTCAAAATATGCTAGTTCATATTCCTTTTAGGCTCCTTGAATCACGTTTGTTATAGAAAAACAACTCATCTCCATGACAAAGCTTTCCTAGGAAAGGAATTGATGTTCTAACTGCATATGTTTTTTTTTTTTTGGCTTCTTGACTTATTTTTTTCCTTTTCATCATTGATCTATATCCTAACCATAAACCCTAAATTAGTTTTTTTCCTTTGTTGTTCGATTCTCTTATTATATACTCTTCTATAGGATCTTAATAATTAAGTCCTGATAAGTATCTTATCTTTTTGTTTTTATATTTTTATTAGGTCCTTATAATTTCATCAATTATAGGTATTAGTGTCTATACTCGTAATTTTTTAATTTATAAGAGAAATGGCGTTAGTAGTAGATGATATAGCTGCTGCTCAATATAGATCTTAATTAATTATGCCATATGAATTTAAATAGAATCAAAATAAAATAAATTAAAAACTATATAGATGCAACAGTAGATGAGGGTCATGAGAATAATAATTTTTTATTTCTATTTTTTTAAAATTTTGTGACAACTTACATGTGTTCATTATCCACATTAGCCTTAATTAATAGATGATGAGTATAAAACGAATACCAATAATTGAGGATATTGTAAAGACCCATTTGAAAAAAAATATAGAGTTTAAGTAAAGATCAAGTAAAACCATAAAGACTAATATATATTTGAAAAAATTATTGTGAGGTCTCAAAAAAATATGATAAAAAAACTCTTAATAACAAGTAAAAGTCATTTCTTAGACTAAAACTTGTCATTATATGCTTCTAGCTTATATGAAATTTTTTGTTTAATTATATTTCTTTTTTGAGATTTCTTCATAGTGATTTTCCTACATACTTTGAATTTTCAAACTTCAAAATCCCTAATCCTAAATTTCTCCCATTGTTTTTCCTTAGAGCTTCTTTACCTCGCATTGGGCAGATTGATGAGTGGCAGAGAAATCACTTTGGTTTCTTTTTGTGCTCTAGTCTAACGAGAATTCCTTAGCTTATAGTCCCCGTGCCATTGGATCTTCTTTCTCTTGCTTGTCTCATCTTCTCCTTGTTTAGGTAAAACCTCCGCTTTTGATATCCCTATCTTGTTAACCAGTGCTCTTGTGTATCTGTTGTCTTTTTCATCTAAAGCTGTCACACGTGCAAAGCACGAGATGAAAGAAATCTGAATTCGTTTCTTCACTACCCCATTTTAGAATCGCTTTTATGTTTTCCTAGAAACTTTTAGAAGTTCTAGCATGCATGACTTTTAGATCGATTTTTTTTTTTTTTGCTTATATGTTACATTCACCATAGATGATGAATTAATAGTGAGTTCTTTTCTGGGCAATTTGGAGAAGTGTAACTTCTCGTACTTATTTTAATATTAGGAAAAATTAGTTAAGTGGAAAATTAATTTGAATTCTGGAGAACAAATTCTTGGCTGTATAAGGGAATGCTGGGATTTTTTTATTTGATTGTTACCTATCAAATTAATTGTCTTATTACTGTGATTGCATACTATTTATTAAAAAAACCCGATCATTAGTGGGAGTGGGATTATTGATGAAAATAATTTCTGTCATTAATTTTTGATATATTTTTTTACAGAAACTACTGATAGGAATATTTTCGTCAAAAATTTTATTTTTTGACAGAATTTGCCTAAAAAAATCTTTTTAAAATTCGTGGCAAATTTTAATCATAAACTTATTCATAGAAGTTTCGATAGAATTTACTGATAGAATTATTCTGTCAATAATTTAAAATTTTTGAAAATTTGATTTTTATTATAATATGATAATAATTTATTATATTAATAAGATAATGATTTATACATATCTATACATTTTTTTTTCAATTCTTAAAATTAGATTTTGTTGAGCTTATGAAATAAAATTAAAAAGTATGAATACAAATCATAAGAATTTGATATGTTTATATTGTCTTTCTAAAATATAATCAGTGTTCTTTTATTAAACTAGGATCTTCTCCCCGTGCATTGCATGGATAGTTGCTATGCATGTAATCTTTTTGCTGGTTATGTGTTATTGTGCTTGTTTTAGTTGTAAGTTACATAAGAGATGAGGATGGTTATCCGGTTTCCTAAAGTGCATAAATGTAAGTTAATCTCGAAGTCATAGAGTTCTAAATGTAATGTAATTGTGGTAGTTGTCATATTGATAATATGAAGTTGAAAGGCCGTTCGTGAATTGGATTATGTGGTCTCTTCAAATGGATATTCTAAAAGACCTCACAATATACCACACTATGAGTAATATTGGTAGAAGACCTCTCGATACAATCTTCTGCCTATGCAACTATTGTTTATGGAGGCTATCTATTAAGTATGCATTAATCTATTTGATTAATTCAAAATTAATAGAGGAGATGAAGTATAAAGTACTGTCTGTGAGCTGCTTAAATGTAAATAGTTCTCATTTTATTACAATATGTTGCATGACACAACTGTGTAATTTTAACGAAGGAAGTTCTCATACCAATAGTGTAAAGACAGTAGTCGACCTATGATAGTGAGAATGAGGTCATTCCAAATGCATATTCTGTAAGACTTCCCTATAGACCACATTCTGAGTAACATTCATGGGTTTATTGTCGAAATTTAGGATTAATATTTTGAGACCGTCCATATTCTTGACCCTTGACAATGAGACATATAGCTGTCCATGTGTGAACACCGGCCTGGGCAGGTATAAACAAATGTTTGTAATGACTAGCCCTATCTCTTGTTGATGGTCATTGTAAAAGAGCTTATGAACAGGAACTGTTCTCTAGTCATTTTGAACGGGAGGGTGGTCTCTGACGAATTCATGTCCATGCGGTGGATGAAGACCTGGTCACCTGTGTTCGTTCCGTTTAATGTGACTGCCCTAATGAAGTTCTTACACAAATATGTGATATATAGAATTATTCTGTTACACAAGCCTACAGACTGGTCGATATTTTATAATAGCATAACTACTATTCTGACCTTTAAAGAGAGCTTATGGGCTAGCATCCCAGAGCAATTTATTGTGTTGAGGAATTTTGTGGAGTATAGATCTTAGAATGAGTTGTTGTCCTGATCGATACTGGAGATGAAGTTAGAGCTCACATACTAAACAGAGTCTCCAGGGAGGAGTAATAGTATGTAATCATTTATCTAGTTGATGACATTGATTGTAGGGGCTAAAATTACCTTTTCTGTGAAGCAGTTTAGATGTGTGATGTTCTAGTAGAGTGTAGGATATGTAGATGAGACTATGGAGTGGAGAGGGTTGAGGGAGTCAGTGATGAGGAAATCACCCAGGATCTCAATGTTTGTCGTACCCTCATAGGGCAGTCCAATTGTACCATCACTAACATCAAGCAACCATATGGAGAAACCATTAACCTTTTTTCTGGTTTATTGGCTTTGATGCTGATTGCAGGCACATGTTTTTAGTGAGCTTGAACAACTTACATGCTGGCCAAAAAGCGGATGAGTTTATAGTTACGTTTATAATGTCTGCACGTAATCCCTTAGGTAGATAGGCAATATTTGCCTGAAATTGCCCCCTATGACGACGTACTTGCCACCAAACGGTAGGTCACATCTCATTATATTCTTCAATGTTTGATCAACAGCCTCCACACAATGTCGTTTTATCATTGGCGCCTCATCCCAAATGATTAATTTTGCAGACTATAGCAAATGGAACACAGGGGGACTGTGGCTAATGTTACATGTGGAGCCCTCATTTATGTTAATGAGGATCACAAATCTTAAATAAGCAATCCTTCATGATGGCAATAGAGTTGCTGCTATTCTGCTTAATGTGATGTTGATGACCATGTCATCATTTGCTCATATAGCCGCGGTCAGGGTATTCCAGATGAAGGTCTTGCTAGTGCCCCCGTAACCATAAATAAAGTAGAACCCATTGGTTATCCTATTAACCGTATTGAGGACTTCGTGGAATATCTTTCTTTGCTCATCTGTTAGTGACGCTGCTAACCTTGTGGCATCTGTGGCACAAGCATCTCTATTGTAGCTAAGTTCCTGGAGTAGCAAGTTATTTGTTGTGTCTAAAAATTTGGTGGAGCTTAGTTTTAGCAGTGATAGGTAGTCATCTAGTGACTTGCCATTCTTCAGGAGTAACCTATGAATCTCAATCAGCCCATCCTCCTTCCTATCCAAGTCAATGATTGATATTTCTGCAGACCAAAAAAAAGTAAGCGATGTCATGGCTAGGCACATCTAACAACAATGGATGCCACTAGTGGAGGTAACTACATGGTATGGGTGCAAGGCGTGGATCATATATCTAGAATTTTGTGTGAGTGTAACATAGTTTGAGTGGTATCTATTTTATCTTGATGCCATAGGTCATGGCATGGTATGTACAGAAGCTCTTCACATATTAGATGCTTGCTTTGCTCCCAGACTGAAGTGAGGTCAGACAAGTAATGGCATAAGAGTATGTTGATGAAGAATCTCTTGAGGTATTAACCTGGACCTAGAAGGCCGCCTCTTTTATTACGTCGATGTACTTTTGATCATCTTGAAGTAACCTTAGTGTGTAGCACGCTACACTGAATGTTGGCTAGATGATGTTGTCTAATGTCCTGATGTCTCTGTAGCTAAGTGGCCCTCTTGTCTTAGTCAGTAAAACTTAGAGTTAGTAAGCCTCACCTTGCGATGGCAATACGTGATCTAATCTACCAATAAAGAAGCCTCTTTAGCACATCTTCCACTCCCTATTTTGCTTATTGAAAGTGTGATGCTCTGGGAATTTGGCCTATGTTAAGGTTCTTACAAATGAGTCTTCTTTATTCTTAGTAAGCCATTCGAGAAATATTAACTCCCTCACCCGTGGCGTGTTAATCAGTGAAGGCATTTCATCATTGGATGTGCAAAAAATGACTTATTGATCTTGGAGATGGAAGTTCAGCCTCTCAACTAAGGGGTACCTATGGTGGATGTCAAATAAGAATATTCGCAAGCTCAGATGTATCTATAATTAAGGTAATGTGAGATCTCATCAAAATCGCGTCATGGACTGCCAAGCTCATCATTATGATAGATCCCTGTAATGATACGGTCATGGCTCTTACTGATGTATTTCAACAAATACTTGATAGCCCTTGAGTAGTTTGTCTTTTTGACATTTAAGTGGCCCTGAAAGAGCCGTAACAGTTGAGCATTATAGGGTATGAGATATTTGTTGTCCAGTAGAATTCCTTTCTTCACAGCTGTTCTTCCATTGTTCCTCCTGTGGTGTGGGAAGTACCCTCATCGTCTACTATTGTGTGCGGCGCATATCTTCTAAGAAAGTACTTTGAGCACTTTTCGTCTTTCATGTAATGTGATTTTTGATTGGAGCCGCCATAAAGTCAATGCAGCATGAAATTAGTGACAAGATCAAACAGTATCGAGTATGTGCCCTTGTCAGGTATCTCTACTAAGATGATTCTGTTGACGTCCTTAGGTGTTTTGGGTTTGTCACATAGCTCTATGAACATCATGATGTGTGCATACAGCAACCCTCGCTTTTGGAACTCGATTGTATATATCTCTGAAATTCTACATATTAGCACACGATAGGGGTGTATTTTGATGTTGCAGAAGTAAATGTGATAATTTAACTATAGGTTCTGTATCCATGAGAGGGTGGGGATATTGTGTTGGATGGTTTTTGGAAACGGAGTGTTTAAGTCCCCCATACTTTGTGGAGAGGTGATTAAAGGGAGGTTGTAATGTTACTTGCTTTGATTTTGTGGAATATTTTTTTGCTCCTTAATGTATTTCATTAGTGCTACAAGTTTGAGGCTAAACATCCTTGTCAAAATATCGAGTCGATCAGATGGGCTAAGCTTGTGTTTCTGGCAGAATCTTGTTATCGTAGCCATGCTGAATTGCAGGTAAAGATTAAGAAGATGTCTGGGTATCCTACCCATCTGCATATGGCCATTGCATCTCAATAGTTGTGGATCATGTATCTAGCACCTCTAGTGAAAGAAGGTAAGATTATCCTCTTAGTTGTGTTAGACACGTATGTCTTGCCCCTGTTATTATGTCAGTGAGTTCTTTGTATAGGTTAACCCTAAGCTCTTTGTGGTGTCTCCTTATATAGTCAAGCCTCTCACTCTCGACCATTACAAAGCCATCTACAACGAGTTGCTATAATAACCTCCTAGAGTACAGTAATGCGAACTCCTTTATATTTCTGTCCATCAGTCTGAAAGCTAGTTACTCTTGTATTATGATGTACTTTTTCTTCTTGGTGCTAATAAGAGATGCTTTGTTATGTTCTATGTTTGGTATGAATACATTGTTGCCATAGTGGAAGATGAGGGGATATTGAAGAGGCAAGTACAACTTGTACACTTCATAGACGTGTTTCAAGGAGCCTGCTTTCTTTTTTTATGATTATGTCTCTATTAACATATGGATTATCAAAATCTCTGACTATCAACGCAGCTACCTCCGACGCTATGGGCAGCTCATAATTTTTGTTTCTATCATTTGATTCTTTGAGGAGCGGTATCCTAACTTTAGCAATGTTGTCTCGGTGAAAGATGTCTGATGCCATATGGTATTTCTTAACCAGGGCATTATGCTAGTTAAGACAATCTTTAATGTCCATAGTAATGGCTTTATCAACACCCAATTTGTCTGGATGGTGCTTGCAATGCAGGGCCAAGGGATTTATTGTGAAGTGTGCTGTAGGGGAAACATGATAATAGAGGACGTAAGCAGCATGAGGGGGACATACCTAATCGCTACCATCCGGCTCCTTATTTTGTTGTCTGTGTCATAAATGGACAACTATAAGTACACAAGAGGGCCTCCTTTAAGTGGCAATAAGCTTCCCAAGAATGATAGTTCTGTCCGGACATGATGAAGGAGTAAGGGCCGCCTCCGCTGGAGTTAAGGCAATAGTCAATCTTTCCTCAGATAGAAGTGAAGTAGAACATATTATTGTATGCTCTGATGTTTGCCAAGAAGTTCTTAGATTTTGGATGTTCTTTTTGAAAGAAAAGCTTCCAAAATTGTTCTGGTGGTGTCTAGAGGTAAGGCATAACAACCTTGCTGTGACAGCAGCAAATTGAGAAAATTGGGGTATATAGAAGAAGAGCAACACTTGAGGTGCTCGTTGAGCCAAAGTAAGGCACCACAAAATTGACACTCCTAAACGGGGTCACCATCATCTAAGTAGCCTGTAGCCAACACATGAGGCTGGGTGCATCCATTGGCGCTAGACATTTGTGTGTTGTCATGGGCGACTTTTATTCCAGCGCCTACATTTAAGGTAGGGCTTCAGTCAACAATTTTTCTTTGTTGCATCATTGCTATATTATGGACTTATGATTTGCTTGATGTGATATAGGGCTAATCTATTTAAATATGTATTGATTTAATATTTGGCGAGATTGGGGGTTCTTTATTGCCAATTTATGGGGGGCATACACTGTGCGGTTTTTGTTAATTTCCACAGTAATTTATTTATGACTATTTCAGCTGATTATATCAAAAAAATTTAAAAATAAGTATGCCAATTACAATAAAGGAGACACATTTTGAGAGAAACGACAAATTCTTTTAATAAAAATCTCTATAAAAATGTGTATGACAAAATTAATTTTAGAAAAGAAGCAGAAACAAAATACAGTAATCAAAATTTAATCAGAAAAAATTTTATGAAGCACACTAATTTGTCAATATTTTTAAAAAAATTCGTTAAAAATTTTAAAGTGTATGAAGAAAAGAAGAATATAAAACCAAAAAAAATATATAATTATTATATATTGATAAGTAATCTGACATGATTAGACGTTAATTTATTTTGTGATAGGCATGTATGAAGACTAGTCTAAATTATTGATTATTGTATTCGGTGCATTTTATGAATTGGGGTTAAAGATAAGAGGCATCTTTGAAGTTCAAATTAAAAATGGTAAGAAAGCTGATTAGGTTTTGGGGAAAAGAACACATTTGTTTTCATGTTGATTTTTTTTTTTCCAAAACATTTGTTTTCATGCAATATAGTTCCTTAGAGAGTAGATTTGGTCATATTCTAATTCATCAGGAGTGATAATAAAAAACATTGCATGGAGGCTAAAAAGTACCTGCCGCGTTCATACCCTATGCACAGCCTGGTATGGCCTAATAATATACTACCTCCTATGCTTAATAATTGAACTACCATGGTTAAAAGAATGAAAGGTAAATCATACTAGAAAGAGAAAAACATAACTGACATAACTTTCCTGTTTCTACTTATCTTCGACACCATACTAGGTATTGAACCTCATGTACAATAGGATATATTATAAAATAGGATGAAAATTAGAAAGATTATGTGATATATTTAGGATGGAGGTTGCCAATATATGCACAGATATATAGGATGGAGGAAGAGCATTAGATTAAATATTCCTCTCTGTTTTTTTTTTACCTGGAAAATATTTTTTGCATCATAATAAAAAATAACTAACAACTTAAATGCTGTCAAAATCCATTCCACACATTGTAAATCCATTCCAAGTTCACAATCCTGTTGAAGGAAAAGCAAAGGTCAAGTCCCAATGAAAAGCTTTTTAATGGACTAGTGAAAAGCAAGGTCATACGCAAGCTATACAGGAAAGCTTCCAAAAGAGTAGAGTTTCTTCTTCAAGTTTCAAACGCAATATAGATTATAAATGCAGATCATTTAGGCACATATGTAAATACATATTGTAAGGTGTGGGATTTAAATCTATAAAATACTTCTAGTTCATAAAGCACACATTAAAATATAAAAGAAGTTGTCAACTTCTCTACATAAATATTTGAGTACAATGAATAAAATGCTCTTAAATTCTTTTCTCTCATCTTAACTCTATTGAAATGATCTCGAATTTTTCCATTTTGAACCCAACAAATTGACACGGTGATGATTCAAGACTTCCAAGACATGGGCATAACTTACTAATAGGCTAATTTGAACATCATGAGATTAGAAAATTTTCCACTCAGTGGGTTTACAAATTCTAAAATGAGGAGTTATTTTGATCCTGTCTCTATGCATGAACACTATATTTAAACATTAGCATTTTAGGAAATGAATGCCTCTAGATTGGCAAAATGAAGAAAATCAGCCTTCTAGCTTTCATTCTATTTGAAGCACAAAGAAATTAGACTCACTTGATTTGAAGTTCAATATGAATCCAGATAAAAATTCAATTCAAATTTCTTTCACATTCTTATTAATAATGAATAAAATTAAATATTTTAGATAACAACCAAATCTCAACAACCAGAATTAAAATCTGTAAAAATCAAATCTAAATAGATACATGTAGGAGGAGGTTGGCACAAGAAGTGTATTCATATCAATTCAAAATTCACAATAATAAATAGAAGGTTATGATAAAACTTCAAGTGAGTAAACATACCTGATGGTAGAACTTCAAGTGTGGAACTTCAATGTTATGACAGATGTAGGGCTTGGAGAATTTAATATGATGAAATAGATGTCATGATTAAGTAGAGCAAAGAATTAAGTCAATAACACTAAGAAGGGCCTAATTATTAAGTCTTATTTAACAGATATTAAAGATACATAATCGATGGAATTCAGTAGCCACACTAATATATTATTAGTAACAACAAAAACTAAAACCTCAAATATATTAATTATTAATTAATAAGTTACCGGTGGAATTAGAAGATGAAATTTTACATGTAGAATCAGAATATGTAATCTAAAGCATATATGAACCTACAGCATCAAATCAATATTGCTGTATGGAATTTCAGAATATGAAGCAAGAGCATACCAACCAGATCAAAAAGAGAGAGGAATATTTAATCTAATGATAGATAAAGTAATAACAGGTTATTTTATAAGAAATTTGATACATTTGATTTGAAGGTCAATTGAAATCTGGATCAAAGTTCAATTCAAAATTCTTTCTCATTCTTATTAATAGTGAATAAAATTAAAGATTTTGGATCACAACCAAATCTCACTAACCAAACCCATCTCAATCCTGTTCTGTAATTTCAAGCCATAATTTTGTAGAGAAAAGTTTATGAGTTTAAATTTGTATCAATATCCTACACCCACATTAGCAATGGCATGTCACGTAATTGGTTTTGTTGACATAGTAAAGAGGTAGCAAACACAATTAAGGTTATGTTATTCCAAAATTTATAGCATCTTGGAGTTGCATAAGAAAATGGAAACAAAATCTTCAATGAGAGTCAAGTTCCTGTCACCCTTTTGTGTTCTTCCTTGGATTCTTTATACTCGTTTTGAGCCCCTCTATTTCTTACTCTTCAATGTGAGCTCTTCTTCATCTTGATATTTCAAAGTCTAAAACTTTTCTTCCACAGCACCTCAAATGCTTCCTCCATCTTTAACATTCCTTGTTTTCCTTATTCCCTCATCGTAGTCTCTAAGAACTAAGAAGAATCGTGACTTCACCTTCTTTGTTCAGCTTCGACGCTGAATTTGAAATCCCTTCTCAGATCTCATGGCTTATCGTGTCAAGATGGTGGCTGACGATAGATGAAGCCTAACAACGCTTGATGATTGTTAAGCTTCAAATGTGGTATAGGGAAACTTGAAAATGGCTATCAAAAGCTATGGAGACTGAGGAAATTGTTAGGAGGTAGAGGTGGAAGAGTCGCTTGGATTTGGATCACCGGACAGCCCAATAATGGGTTATTACTAGACCACTTAACATTGACTCGCAAACCCCTATAACCCATTTTCCCTTGATCGGGTATCATGGGATTTCATATTAGAAGTAGATTGCTTCTCTCTTTTCTTAATTAATTCTCTCTCAAATAAATTTTATTCAATTATAATGATCATGATATGAAAAAGAAAAATGGCAAAAAAAAAAAGACCCAAAATATGTGAAATTGCTAA